CTGAGCAACTGAGCAACTGAGCAACTGAGCAACTGAGCAACTGAGCAGGCTGTCATAGAAGTTCACACGGCAGCAACTGCACAATGTGTGTGCTTTCAGTGCATAGATCATTAAGACATTCAGGTACCTTTTTCTCCAGCTACAGTTAGTATTTAGTTCATAAACAGATAATTTAACGATTTTATGAGTTTATTCATATTTCATATTTCACAAATGTCACCAGTTATCATTCTTTTTACTTTCACGCCTGTGGGTCTTTCCCAACTTTCACTGCTTTGAAAATGAGAATTCGTACTACAGCTTTTTCTGACATCACACAGAACATTCAATAAGTTTTGTGTGTTTTCATGATTTTTCATACACTGTTTATACAATTTATCAAAAGGATTTCTAATGATGTATTGGCCAGCATGTGTTAATCTTGACTTCACATGACCAAAAAAATGTCCACCTCCACATGAATTTTCTGACTAATCCATTTGCACATGGCAGACATATGATTCTCTGGGATGAACCTGCTTACTGGTGCCTAGAGAACACGCTTCTGCACATGCTAAACAGCAAAGCTAGTAATAACAAATTCAGTGGATAAAACAAAGCCCTAAATTGTCTTCAACCCTGTGAAACTAAGAAAGCTCTGATTCGGATTTCCATGGAGACTCTCCTATAGTAGTTGTACCCTGTGTATCTGGGAGAAGACAATATACAGGGACACGCCTAAGGAAAGTTTAGAAAGAACTTTTCCTAGATCAAGCTCTTGCCTATGACACTCTGGAGATGAGACCGTTCGATAAATCCTCCTTTGGGGAGACCTACATTCCCTAGAATCATCATAAGAACCTGAAAAAATATTTCTTCTCAGCAGAGAGAGATGTTCAAACAATGATTTATTCCCACCATTGTATTAAAGTCAAACACGAGCCACAAATGGCCAATAGAAATGAAGAAAAAGAACAAAAGACCTTAGCAAAAAATGGGAAAATATAGGGAAAATAGAAAGGTGTAGCACATGGATATTTTTTAGTAAATAAGTTTCAAAATTACTATAGTAAATACAGGTATCCCTTTATATTTTGAATTTATCTTAATGAATTTATTCATTTATTTTATGTGTACATGAGTTGTATCATGCATGGTTCATTCATGTGAGTGTGCACTTATATATGTGCATGCAGAGGCCAGAGCAAGACTTAACGTGTTTTCTTCTATTTCTGTCCACTTTGTTGTCTTACTACCAGGTTCCCACTGGACCTGAAACTCATTCTTTAGACCAAGTTGGCTGCCCAGCAAGCTCTCAGTATGTATATCTCTCTGCTTCACCAATGTTGAAGTTACAGGTATATATATAGCCATACCACTTTTTATGAGGACACAGAATATTAGGCCCTCAGGTATCATATTTTCAGGATAAGTGCTTTTTATCCACAACAACATATTCCCAGACATCTATATTTTTATACTATAGATAGAGGTATGATTTAAAATTGGAAGTGTAGCATTTGCAAATTTGTTTGTGTATTATTTATTTATTTTATTAGTTTTAAATCTTTTTTTTACAGTCCAGTCATTATCTCCCTTCAGGTCTGCCCTCTGACAGTTCCTCATCCCATTCCTTCTCCCCTGTCTCCAAGAAGATGTCCCCAACTCCCAAACCCCACCAGACCTCCCCACTCCCTGGGGCCTCAAGTCTCTCACTGAGGCCAGACTAGGCAGTCCTCTGCAGTATATGTGTCAGGGGCCTCATATCAGCTAGTGTATGCTGTCTGGATGGTGGCTCAGTGTCTGAGAGATTTCAAGGGTCTAGGTTATGTAAGACTGCTGGTCTTCCTATGGAGTCACTCTCCTCCTTAGCTTCTTCCAGCCTTTCCCAAACTCAACCATAGGGGTCCCAGCTTCTGTCCATTGGTTGGGTGTATCTGTATCTGACTCTTTCAGATGCTTGTTGGGCCTCTAGGAGGGCAGCTATGCTAGGCTCCTGTCTGTAAGCACACCATAGCATCAGTAATAGTGTCAGGCCTTGGAGCTTTCCCTTGAGCTGGATCCCATTTGGACCAGTCACTGAACCTCCTTTCTCTCAGTCTCTTCTCCATTTTTGCTCCTGCATTTCTTTTAGACAGCTCTCCTTCCTGCCATAAGTAGTGAAGGACAAGGGAGGTAAAAAGGACATCTCTATCTTGACCACACTGCTACCTAGAAGACAAGAGGCAGGGCTGGCTCTACTGCACTCATGTCCTTGGGCCTGCTCACCTACAACTCCCACACCCAGGGGCAGCTCTGCTGTGCTACCCAAGCAAGATGCGGGGCCCACTCTCCTGAGTTCTGCAGCAGGTGAAGTACAGGGCCAGCTCTCCTGTGCACAGCAGCTGGCATGGGTGAGGAGTGTCAGCTCTCCTGCTCTCATGCCCCCAGGGCCAGCTATCTTATGTCCAGGTGAGGGGTGGGGGCAGTTCTCCACAGCCCTCAGATATCAACATGTCCTGTGGCAGCAGCCCAGTCCAGAGAGTTCTGACTGGCCCTAGGTGGCAAGAGAATCTTGCTGATGCAAGGCCATGGACCCAAATGTGGGCCCCAGTTGCATCAAAGGCCCAGACTCCACCATGATCTCAGGTGGGGTCACCAGCTCCTCACATCAAGCTCTTCCTCTCTATCTTCTCCTCCAGTATCCAGCCCTGGCTTTCTTCATTATCCACACATCCCTCTGTTTCTCTTTCTCTTCCATTTCTCCATCACTTACTTGGTTCTCTTAGTGGTGCATGGGAACTTGTGACTGATTGGGGTTGTCTCAGGAATGGTCTCAGAAGTGCTATGCCCCTCTGATGCACTATGGCTACCCCCCAGGCCTGTGCTGTGTCTGACTGGTGGTCATCTCAGGCTCACTTTTTTCAGAGAATGTCATACTACTAATCATTCAGATCTTCACAGGTCAGAACACTGAGTGTAGACACACACAGCCTCTCTCTTTTCTGCCACCTACTGACACACATGTGACACAGCAGCCACATCTTTTAGACAACTCCGTCCCTCCACTTGATGCCCTGTCTTTCTCCTGGAGGTGGAATCTACAAGTTCTGGGGAGTGTGTTCTTATTTCAAGGAGGGGTAAGATGTCTTCTCTGGGTCAGGCTTGGTGACACTTTCCTGCACTCCAAGAATGTGGAAGGCTAAACAGGATGACTGAAAATTTGAAACTAGCCTGGAAAAAAAAATGTATGTATATGTGTGTGTGTGTGCATGCGCGTGTGCGTGTTATGTCTCAAAAACAAACAGAAAAAAATCAAACCAAAATAGAAGCCTATGAATTCTTCCATCATTAATAAACATATACTGCTGTCATAGTAAACGCTTATAAAGTTTGCATTCAATTACAGTGGTGGCCTGTGTAAGAAAACTTTGAACTTCCTCTGATAGAGAAGAGTCTAGATTGTTCTTCCTACAAAGTTTCCTACTAGAAGGAATTGTGTAAACAATGATGAGAGAATGCACTTGCAACAAAGACATGAAGAGAATGCCTGGTGTATTCACATTAGCCCTGTGGAAAGGGAAAGGCCTAGGAGGAATATTCTTGGCTCTTTCACATGACCAGTGATAACAATAGCGCAAGGTATATTCCTTTCAGGCACTTACATTTGCTTAAGCTAACCTAAGGTATTGTTTTCTTGTGTAATAAAAAGAGCAGTGCTCTTCTAGCATTGCTCTTGAGCCCAAAAGCTTTGAGTCCCTGGATCATCTAACTTAGATCTTTGGCATTTCCTTCAGTCTCTGGAGACTTAGTCTCCCTGACTGGGGTGGAACAAGCTACATTTGAAGCAACTCCAATATTCAAATATAACATTAATTCGAGTAGAGAAGTTAAGGAAAAGTAAGTGTGGCAATACTATATTGAAATATTAAAAGAGAAAATTGCTAAGTTTTATTGTTTTTCTATTATGTTAATTAGAAAAAGAATCCCCAAATCATCTGGCAAACAAGAACTCTGTCTTTATTCTTTGTTCCGTGTAAAACATGAGCACCTATGCTAAACTTAGCTTACTGAAACAAAGGAAAAATGTCAAGATTTTTCAATGTAGTAGTTCACCATGCAGGGAGAGGTTCAAAGTCATAGAAGATCTTACATATTTCAGATTCATCGTCTCTGACACTTCTGCAATGATAGAAGGGTCTGAATTGTCCTATATGATATATGTCCCTGGCTAAATGAGTCTGCTGAGCTTTTGATAAGGCCAATGTAACTCGGTGACTGAATTTTAGGGTTCTTTTTTGTTGTTAACTTTTAATTATTTTAATTTTTTTCTTTTGTTAAAAATAAAAATGTGAACAAAATGTACTGCGTGACATATTGTGACACTGCAGCTTCCACATGAGAAGAGGGGATAAGAGAGGAGATGAGTGGGATTGGGTTACATGATGTGAAATTCACAAAGAAACAATAAAAAGTTGAAAAAAAGAGAAAATAAATTTTTTTGTCATTTAATATATCCTGATTACAGCCTCCTTTTCCTCTACTCCTCTCTGGTTTCTCCCCATCTCTCTTCAAATCCAGATCCATATCCTTTCTCTCTTATTAGGAAAAAAAACAGCTTTCCAAGGAATAATAGTAAAATAAAATAAGATAGACTAAAACCTAATATAACAGAATAGAACAAAACAAAACACTCAAGGAAAAGAGCCCAAGAAAAAGCACAATAAACAGATAAAGACTCAGAGATCCACTCATTCTCATGCTCAGGAATCCTGTAAAAACACTAAACTGGAAGCTATACTATATAGACAACGAAACACACACAAACATAAACACACACAAACACACAATAAGATTTTTTAAAAGCCCTGACACAACATCATTAAACAATAAATCTGTAAAAATGTGTCCCGGCCTGCAGGGCGGTAAACGGGGAAGAGAGAATGGGGGACAAGGGACGTGAAGAACAGACAGTAAGTCAAGAGATCTGATCAAGCCGTCAAATTTTAATTGTTCCCACACAGGTTATATACACATAGAAGCAGGATATGGAGTAGGGGTGTGATGTAGGGTCTCTTTGTTTCTGGGGAGTGCAGGTGTTCTCAAGAACAGGCAGGATGTTGGCTGGGTGAAAAGTTCAGCAGAAGGAATAGAGCAGAACAGGTTGCTAGGTACCTGTCCATAACATCTATAGTTATTTGTTCTTAACTAAGCTAGTACTTTTCCACCGAGGGTATCTGTCCACAAGATCTATAGCTATTTGTTCTCAACTGGGTTAGTGCTTTCCCACAGAGGCCAAGACTTTGTGCCAGTAAGCACATATGGCTGACAAAGCAGTAAATATTTAAGCAAGGTTGCTCCCAACAAAGGTGTGGTTGAGTTTGCTCTCTGTTGACCATCTACTGCTGGGCATTCAGTCTACCCATAAGAGTAGTTTGTTTTCCCAATAAGTCTCTTAGAGAAAACTAAATTTTCTTTTGCAAGTGGTTATCCAGTTAAGATAGCTCTCGACTCAGGATGGGGGCACATGTCCACTTAGGTCTTTGGCTTATCTAGTTTCAGGTTCTTGACCACTGGAACAGTGTCAGTCGCGGATTCCATCTCATGGAGTGGGCCTTAAGTTTCATCAGAGAATGGTTGGTTACATCCACAGTTTGTGACACTACTGCAGCAGCATACCATGCAAGCAGGTTTCCACTCTAGATAGAAGTGTTTATAACTGGGTTGATTTTTATCTTTCTCCTCTGGTAGCATGCAGAATACTGTTAAGTTCCAGAAGAAGTGAAGGCTCTAATTAGGCACCAGCATAATGTTTCCATACTCAATTGAGATTATGTACGTGTTTTCTTCAGCAATAGAGCCTTACCATCAGCTTGTAAAGGACAAGCAATAGCTTTGGCAATTGTCTATGTTATTTGAAGGTTTCCCTTTGGCTAACAATTTAATTTGATGTAACCCATTTCTGGCACTGGAGGTTTCACTTGATAGGAAAAAAAATGTCTAGTTGGGACTTAATCACCCTTGTTATTATCCTGATTCCATTTAGGTTCCATACACATATGTATTTGTTTTAAAATGCTACTACAGTAGTAAGTTTTTCTTATGAACCCTCAAATGACTCTTATTGTTAACTGTCTCTTCTGCATTCCTTCCTTTACCTCTCTTTTCCTTCCCCCTTATTTAATCCCCCATTCCACTTCCACCCTGCTCCCTATCCCTACATAGTTATGTATTGTATTTCTTCTTTGGGAGATCCTTCACTCCCTGCTAGTGCCTAACTTCTGTGATTGTAGGGATTGTAGCATGCATATTAAAGGCTTAAGATCCAACATTTACAAGTAAGCAAATACATACCATATTTGTCTCATTGTGTCTGAGTTACCTCATTCAGAATGATTTCCCTAACTCCATCCATTTACCTGTGGATTTCATAATTTTATTATTTTAATTGCTGAGTGATATTCTTTTGTGTAAATGTATGATATTTACCTGATTCATCCATATGTTGATACACATCTAGGCTGTTTCAAATTTCTGGCTATTAAGAATAGAGCACCAGTCAACCCAGTTGAGAAAGTGTCTCTGCTGAAGAATATTATAGGTGGATCTTGAGGTAGATTAGTTTCCATTCTGAGGAATGGACACTCCAGTTTCCACAGTGGCTGTACAAGTTTTCATCTCCCACCAAGAATGGATGAGTGTTCTCCTTACATTCTTCCCAGCATAAATTGTCATTTGGTTTATTGATCTTAACTAGTCTTTGATTTGTAGTTCCCTGATGACTAAGGGTGTTGAACATTTCTTTAGGTGTTTACCAGCCATTTGAGTTTCGTATTTTGAGAATTCTTTTTAAATATATACCTCATTTTAAAATTGGTTTGCTTGTTTTCCTAATATCAAGATTCTGAGTTCTTTATATATTTTGGAAATGATCCCTCTATCAGCAGCTTGTAAAAATATTTCCCATTCTGTAGGCTGCTGCTTTGTCTGAATAATGGTGTCCTTTGCCATGCAGAAACTTTTCAGTTTCGTGAGATACCATTTATTAATTGGTGATCTTAGTGCCAATGCTAATGGTTCAGAAAGTCTTTTTCCCTGCCAAAGAGTTCAAGGCTATTCCCTACTTTCTCTTCTATCAGATTCAGTATGTCTAGTTTTATATTGCAGTTTCTCATATATGTGAAGCTGAGTTTGTGCAGGGTCATAAGTTTGGATCTATTTTCATTCTTCTACATGCAGCCATCAAGTTTGACCAGCACCATTTGTTGAAGATGCTGTCTTTTTCAGTGTGTATTTCTGGCTTTTTTTTTTTAAATCAGGTGTCCATTGGGTGGATTTATATCTGGGTCTTCAATTCAATTCCCTTGAACAACATGTCAGTTTTTGTACCAATAATGCTGCTTTTATTAGCATATGTCTCTAGAACAATTTGAGGTCAGTGATGGTGATACTTCCAACAGCTTTTATTATTCAGGATGGTTTTAGATATCCTGTTGTTGTTGTTGTGTATCTATACGAAGCTGAAAAATTTCCTTTCAAAGTCTGTGAAGAATTCTGTTGCAATTTTGATGGGGACTATATTGAATGTGTTGATTACTTTTAGTAGGATAGCCATTTTTACTATATTAATCCTACTACTATATGAGCTTGAGAGACCTTTTCATCCTGGGGAGACCTTTCCATCTTCTGATATCTTCAACTTCTTTCATCAATGACTTAAAGTTGTGTTATATAACTTCTTCATTTGCTTCATTAGAGTTACCCCCAAAATATTTTATATTTTTGAGGCTATTGCAAAAGAAATTTCCTCCCAGATTTCTTTCACTGTTTATCATTTGTATATAGGAAAGTTAGTTAATTTTGTATCCAGCTACTTTGCTAAAGGTATTTACTAGCTGTAGTAGTTCCCCAGTGTAAAATTTTGGAATACTTCTATATACCATCATAACAATACTTTGACTTCTTCCTCTCCAATTTGCATCTCTTGATATCCTTCAGTTGCATTTTTGCTCTAGCTAAAACTTCTAGTACTATATTGAATAGGTATGGAGAGAGT